CACACACACACACACACACACACACACACACACACACACACACACACACACACACTGCTCCATCATTATCCACTTGGTCCGGAGACCCCACTCCGTGCATCATTTTATCCTGTGAGAGAAACTACGGATTGTTTTAATGAAATGTACAGATGCCAGTAGGGATGTCCCGATCCAGATTTTTAGGCTCCCGATACAATTAGATTTTTTTGAATGATTAGTCTTTCCGAAACCGATCCAATAGCTTTATTTTTTTTATTTCTTTCCAAGTGACAAGGCTGGTAGTATTAAAGCTAGCCCTGCTGTTCCCACCATGAGAAACACCCAGATTGCAGATTTTACAAGATGCAGTTTCAGCATCATTGTTTTCCATTGAAAAGTGTTCCCACACTGTGGACATGGTTGTATACTTGTGTGTGTGTCTTGACTTCTTAACGGCAGTTGTGAAGCACTGATGATGCTGAAAACTGTTGTGAAAATTGGATCGGCCTGAAGAAATTTATAGTTATTACAGATTAGTACTGATGTTAAAAGCACAACACTAAATTTTTAGGTTTTCCGTTTCATAATGTTTAATCTATATTGTGTTGATTGATATAGATTAGTTACATGTCCGAAATATCTATAACAACACATATTTATCCGTTATGAGAACAGTAGGGGAGAATAGTGTATGAGTGCCTGTGATTCAGCCGTAGGTCAGTAGGGGGCGAACGCAGGCATTGAAGACTCTGTATAAATGGATCTACTTCCTGGTTGGCCGGCAGTGTGTGGTTTCCTGTCAGCGGTGGCAATAAATCCTCCCTCCAGAATTCTGGTTTTGTAAGGTTTTATTCCGTCTAACAATCATATTATTTAACATTGGTGGTTTTCAACTGACTTCAGTCTTTGAACACGAATATTTCTTACGATCACGACTAAATCTGATTTTACTCGATTTTCAAAAAATGGCCATATCTGCCACCAATACTGATACTGAGTATCTGATCGGGACATCCCTAGATGCTAGGGCTGTGTATTGGCAAGAATTTGGTGATACGATACATATCATGTCAGAGGGGTCACGATACAATACATCCCGATATATTTCGATACTGTAAACAAGGCGATATATTGCGATATTTTTGTCCAAAAATTCTATTAAACAAAAACCTCTTACAAGGGAAAAAAAATGAAAAATCAAAATTCATTGTCTCAGAAAATTCTAATATTACATAGACATACTTTTGATACATTTAGCTGTGTTCTGCTTTGTATTTTGTTTCATATTTCTTATTTCATCCATGTTTTCAATTATTAGACTAAATTTGACAATAAATAGTTTGAAAATATATTTTTTGCAGGTTTTAGTTTTTAATATTAATTTACAATATGGTCACCCAACACTTAACAATAGCCTCTAACTCAAGAGGCAGAGGAGCCAAATGTCTGGCTCACTGCTGCCAACTAGTGGTCAGAGGCTGAACTACAACATAAAAATGAACTGCTGGCAGGAAAGTTGACATTTTAAACCTTAATTAAAAATCGATACAGGGCTTTAGAATATCGATACAGTATCGGGAAATGAAATATCGCGATATTTCAGTGTATCGATATTTTCTTACACCCCTACTAGATGCCATGAAGTTTGAGTCAAAGAAAGAAAATATAATAAAAAGAAAATTCAGTCCTACTGTAATGGGGGTTTGTTTGCATGCACCAGCTGATAGTTTAAACTTTTCTCCAAAAGTTGCACAAAAATATCCACCTTTTATTCCAACATTATGACACTGGTAATCATTTTTCTCCCCTTCTTTCTTTTGTATTTCATGACTAAACCTGTTTTCCACACCTTATTTTAGTTCCTCTGTACATTATAACTAAGAATCACACTCAGGTGGGGAGGAGGACAGCTGTGTTCTCTGTCTTTTCAGTCCATCTCAAACCCCCTAGTATCTTGTAACCACTCAAGAGACCTCTGGAGCAGTCTTAAATATCTAGAAGAGTAAGAATGATTTTTAGACATAAGAATTTTGATAACTGGGAAACATTCCACTCTAAGAAGTTTGATAAATACAGGCCCAGAAAATACTTAGTTGAGACGCATCAATAAATCTTATTTTTTCATCACCTTCTGCAGACACTGAACAAATCTTTTTGTCAGCTCCATGTTTTGTTTGTGTACAAGATCCTGGGGTTTCTTAAGTTCTCCACAATAATTCCAAATTAACCTAACATTTTACACCTCAGGTCTAACCCAAACAAACAGTCTCTCTTTATTACGGCTCAGAAAAAGAATCACTGACCGTAGAAAGCAATACAAAATAAGGTTAAATTCGAAACTGCCCAGAAAAGCTCAGAAGACTGGGTCTAGGTGACATTTTTATACAAGTGTTTTGTGTTTTTTTCAGCAGGAGATTCCAGCGATGGACCCAGTAACGTGAGAGTGACCGGTGGCTTCGGTCCACAAGGATTCAGAAAGCATTTGATGAGCAGAAGAGTGGACTCTGACAACGAACCCACAGACCCCGAGCGCCTCTTCCAGAGGTGTTTCACAGCGACGGTCACTGGCGTGAAAGTGGAAAGTCCCTCATAGGTCGCAGAGAAACTCTGTCTTCACGAATCCAAGCAGCAGCGTTTGGTTCAGGTTGGCAGGCAGGTTCTGTACGTCGGACCTGTGGGAGGACAGCAGGACCTGATGTAACGTGCTTTACAACTACGMTGGTTAAGTGGAGTAATTACCCAGTTATTCCAGAGAGTGCTGAAAACAACTGCAAGTGCTGTGAGCACTCATTATATAAACTGACTGTCTCTCCTCTTCGTGGCATCTGATAGAAAAAAAAAAACAAATTAATTATCGTCCACGCTCCTGGAAATAAACACAAACCATGTATGTGGCTTTCTGCAAGCCACCAGAACCATCCTGGAATGTTAGAGATGCTGAAACTTGTTTAGATGTAAAAAACAAACAAACATCTGGGTGTGTGCAACGACTCCCTCGTGAAGCTTTGTAATGCCGATGTGGAGCTTTATTGTCTCAGGGATGTTAGAGTAAGAGCCTGTAACACGATTTGACTCCTTACCAGCATAAAATAAATAAATAAAAAAACAAGGACGTCAGCTGGTTCTTCTGCTGCTTACAGTGACTCATGTTTACCCCTTTCTGCCAGTTTTTCTCATCAAACATCCATAAGCTGGAGGGGATCACTGAAGTACTTCATCTTTTAGCCAACAGTATTTCTTTGAGTCATCGCTGTTGTGTCAAATAAATCTCTGGAACGTCTTTGTTCACATTATTAGGTTTTGTGTGATGTCAAGAGTGTTCCAGTGAATATCACAAGGTGATGATGCTATCAGTCAGCTGACAGCGTGATGAATGAGCGTAAAACCTGAGATACACGGTCGGCTACAGCTCAACAACGGCCTCTGAGCTGCGGTTGAACCAACACCACGATTCATCTGAGTTACTGCAACTCAGAGAAAATCTGATCAGGCTTCAGCTGCATACAAAGAAAATACAACTAAGCCTTTTGTGTCACTGATTTCAGTCGAGGGGACATAAAAGGATCTATTTTAGTCTGAATCTACTAGAACATCAGCCTGAAACACGCTGAGCTGTCAAATCTTAGATTTCTTGGTAATGCTAATACAGTTCTTCAGCTTCAAATGTTTTCTCCAATATGACAGGTGAATCAATTATTCATAATAATCAACATGTAGAGCTGTAAGAAGTTTTCTTTGAATACAGTTGAAACAGGGGTTTGGGAGTTTTGAACAGTCTTTACTCCCATTTATCACTCAAACTGTACTTTTCAAATGTATTTTAAAGTTTTAACTGACACTGGTCACACAGTAAAATCATTTATTATTTTACGTGTGTGTGTCTGTGTGTCTTGTATTCAGACTGAAATGCCACTGAGCAGAGAACAGTGGGAAACAGAGAGCAGAACAAAACCCCTATACTGTATCATTACACTAAGAAAATATTTTTTTCAGAAATACTACAGCAACATATTCAATAGAGTGCATCAAGTTTATATTTAAAAATATGACAAATGAGAATAGTTGTAAAAGACTGACAAGCAATTTGTTTAACATGCTTTGAACATCAAAAGGAAAACATTTTCATTTAGACAACCCTCTCATATTGTGCCTGAAAGATGTTCATTATGTCATTATGTAATCTGACTGACTCCACACCTGCTTAAAGTTTTTGTGGTTCTGCAGTTTACTGTGACATAAAGTAAAAGTTCCACTTACTCACCCGGTCACATGATGTTTGGTTTTGTCCTTCTATTCACCAATTTTATCTTTTTCTACTTGTGTTAATGGTATGGGGCACCAAGTGTAAAATAAAAAGTTAAAAAAATGTCACTAACATGTTTTCATTATTTAGCCCACTTTCTGAGTGTATAATCCTGGTTTAAAAATTCCAGCATTTTATTTGCTTGCTGCTGTTACATTTAGCTAAGCTTTATGTACGGGTCACCTCGAGTGAAGAAACAGGAGTTACTGCCTCAAAGCAGGTCTCACACAGGCCTGAGAGGAGGCAGGAACGCTAAACTCTATTTTAGGCCATGATGGGTCACTTCAATCTACACGAGGACTTCAGTTCTCTTAATCAGATATTAAACAGAAACAATCTGTTCTGTTCGTGATTCATTGGTTGTTTAACTAAGAATGTTTATGCATTTGTTAATCATAATGATGACTGTCACAAAGAATATAGAATCACTTCTATTCTTTTATCCTGCCTAAAATAGGCTAATGAATCACAGAAAATCATCACCATGTTTTTCATTGTGTTTTTATAAATCACTTTTTATTTTACTGAAACATCAGTAATATAATTTTGAGTTTCTTAAGAAAATCTTACATTTATATGGACACAAGTTCAGACTGATTATTTAAACAGAGTGTTAATTAATCATGACAAATGTTTACAGTGATTTCTTACAGTCCAGCAACAAGAAGAAGAGAAGATATTTTCATAATGTTTGTAAGAAGCAGAGCAATGACCTTGCACTGGCAGCTGGCAACTCTCTTATCTTCTTTTCCTTTCTGACTGTGGCTTATCTAAGAGCCGACTCTGACTTACTAACACAGACGCCTTAGACAGACACAAGGCAGTCTTCTTCCTGGATGCGAGACAGGAGGACAAAGCTGAATCTCTCCGGAGAAACAGCTGGGCCTCAGGTTTCACCCATCAGCCAAATAGGGTGACCTAAAGTCCAGGGACAAAGGCCAGCCGCCTTCATGTCCACCTGGAGACATACGTCTCTTTAAAGTGTTTTTATCTCCCGAGGGANGTTAATTAATCATGATAAATGTTTACAGTGATTTCTTACAGTCCAGCAACAAGAAGAAGAGAAGATATTTTCATAATGTCTGTAAACAGCTAGAGCAATGGCCTTCAGCTGGCAACACTCTTATCTTCTTTTCCTTTCTGACTGGAGCTTATCTAAGAGTCCACTCTGACTTACTAACAAACGGATGCCTGAGACACACAGTCAGTCTTCTTCCTGGATGCGAGACAGGAGGACGAAGCTGAATCTCTCCGGAGAAACAGCTGGGCCTCAGGTTTCACCCATCAGCCAAATAGGGTAACCTGAAGCCCCGGGGACAACGGCAAGCCGCCTTCATGTCCACCTGGAGACATACGTCTCTCTAAAGTGTTTTTATCTCCCGAGGGAGACTTTTATTTTGAAAGACGACCGACACCACAGCTGGAATCTTTCTAGCCGGGCTTAAGTGGACTAAAAGTCACCTGAAAGACACCTTTTCACCAAGGACCAGTTCTGGACAAGCTTCCCGAAGGGTCGTCGGTGAGACAGCCATATCAGGGGTTCTTAAGCAGACCACTCCAGGTAACGCTGACGTGTTCGTGGGTGACGTGTCAACTTGAAGCTGAGAGCTCAGAGGGGACGTGCTGAATCCGGTTGTAAATCTTTCAAAATTAAAACAAAAACACTAACTCTTAATTTAATGTTAAATTTACATGTTAAATACTGTGTAAATATTAAATTCTAAATCTAAACACGTAAATCTAAACCTAAAAGGTAAATTTTGTAGGAGGTGAGCTTAAAGTGAACAAAGCTTTTCCCACATCTCTCATACACAAGGTTATGAGGAAACTTTTACTAAGGTATTTCCCATTACATGTTAATATCTTGACTGTGCGAAGTGAAAAGTGACACAATAAGTGAACGTTCAGACGAGGAACAGATCATAAGTACACCTGATTGTGGTTATTCCTATAACAAGCGTCAGAGTTAAATGAGATAAAACCCGCATCTGAGTTTCAATTCACATCAACTTAGATTACTTATTTACTTATATAGAACAGTAAAGCCTCAGTTCTGATGTTAACAACCAAACAATTTTACTGGCACTTTTAGCTTAAGTTTTGGCAAATTAAGAACAAGGAAAGGAGGAAAGTAAGATTAGTATGTTACTACTACTTTTACTTTTATCAAAGTGTGGGTCAACCAGAACTGCACGTCTTTTCTAAGCTCAGATTCCACATGACACGTCACTCCGAACACAGCTTTACCTGGTGATGACTTCTTAAGGCACCCTCGGGGTAGGAGCTGGCTCGCCTCCGATCAGTCAGGGAACTGATGTCGGCTCGCTTACCGGTCATTGGCGAGCAGGTGTTTTTCCAGGTAACTTTCGTCTGTTTCAGTCCAAGTCAGAAAAGTTCAAGCCGTATCCGGTTCCTCTTTCCAAAATAAAATCTCCCCTCGGGAGTTAAAAACACTCAGAGGCTCGAAGCCTCGATTTGGAACCACCAGCAGGCGTGCCGGGTCCCTGGCTGTGAAATCTTCCCTAATTAGCTCATGGGATCAGACTTAAAGCCAAACTGGGGTTTCTCCGGAGAGAATCCCAGCTGTCTTTCTAGGTTGGAATCAGGAAGAAGAGTGTGTCCCTCAAAGCCGTCTGGGTTAGTAAAAGAAGCAGACAAACTTTGGTTCCGCCCTCAGGCTTAGAGATGAGTCAGAGAAAGAAAGAWYAAGATTTGCCAGCCGGCGCCAGCCCAAGGTTAAAATTCTGTGGTTGTTCAACAACATGAAATGATAACCTCTTTWCAGCTTTCTTCTGATAGACTCTAAGAGAAATCACTGCAAAACATTTAGGATGATTAATTAACATTTCTGTTTTATAATCAGTTCTGAACCTTCTGTTAGTCCAGATAAATGAAAGATTTTCTCAGGAAAAATCCACAATTATATTACTGTGTTCACAGTAAAATAAAAACAGTGATTTACATACGTAAAAACTTAATGAAAACATTGTAATCAGATTCTCTGTGATTTTTTTATACCATTATAAATCTTTAAGGCACGATAAAAGAAAAGAAATGGTTCCACTTTTCCTGTGACATTCATTATCATGATTTAACAAATGCATAAACATTCTTAGTCAAACAACAAATGAATCACGAACAGAAAAGATTGTCCTGTCCATTATCTGATTAAGAGAACTGAGGGGTTCTCTTCCATGGTTGGAATGACCTGTCATGGCCTAAATAGAGTTCAGTTTGTGACAGAGTTCCTGTCCTCTCGTCAGGCCTGTGCGAGGCCTGCTTTGAGGCAGTAAATCTTGTTTCTTCACTCGAGGTGACCCCTACAATTTTAAAAGTTGTAGCTAAATGAAGTTTACATTTAAGTATTTCAAAATGGAGCACGGCCATTGCTCTTAGCACTCAGCTCTTCTTACAACATCATCATTTATGGATGAATACAATATAACTCTGCTAATGCTGCTAATGCTGCTAATGTTGCTAACACTGCTAACGCTGCTAACCCTGCTAACGCTGCCAGATCCGTACTGACCCAGAAACATTGTTTTTAGCATGTAGCATTTTGATAAACTGATGACAGAATTCATTTGATTTCAGTCTTTTATCAACTGCAATGTTTCATTGAAAAGGCAACATTTACAACATCTGTGGATTTTTATTCCAGGAAAAAATAAAACGAAGATGAGTTATAAAATGAMTGTCTAGAAAATAGTTAGCATTGTAAATAATTATGGATGCATCATAAATCTATATTTTATTAATTAAATTGTATACAATATTAAAACCTTTTCAGAATATAATGTAAC